TCTCTCTCTCTCTCTCTCTCCGAATTTGGCCGTCATATCCGTCAACACGGAAAGTCCCAGTTTGAAAAACTACCTGCGGTTCCAATGTGGTGGACACGTTTCACGGCTGTTTTTATTTTTCATGCTCACCCGTCTCTGTTAATCATGAAAGTGGCGTGTCGGACACGTCATAAATTATGGAACCATAAAAGAGAGAGAGAAGTATTATGCTATTACTTAAAAGTGACAGTTCCTGATATAATGATAACAGTACCAAAAATATATTGATCCTTGAGTATTAACATTTTATACTACTCAATAAATTCAAGCCTTTGTGCAAACCAGTGAACTTTTTCATTTCATTAGATTTTGTTCTTCTGGTGATGAATAACACAGAAACCATACAGTGGTATGATCTTCACGCTTGGAATATTTGCCTATATAATTGTCTTAAAGACTTAATGCTTCACTTAAGCACCATCCACTCGCCTAGAGAATATACTATTTATCTTGTTAATCATATGAGCATCATTTCATTTCAAGAGAAAGTGGAAAAACCCTCAGAAGACCCTTGCATTTGCTCATTACTCAAACAGGAATCTCCCATTCAAATAGCAAGCTGCACAGAAAGTCATTTACGGTCACATTTCCTTACTGTACTGTGGGTGCCAGAAGTATTTTTTCTCTTAAACCTGTAAATGTCACTGCGTTACCAAATATTCATTTCTAAAGCCGCAAATAATTGCTGATAAATGATGAGTGAATGATGGTCAGTAAAACATAATGTGATGATACATACTGTCTAAACTGAGCCAAATCAGAAGACAGCTGATTAGATTATAAGAGAGTGAGGGAAAGAGGGCACGGGAGATAATTTTTGCTAAAGAGAGCAGTCAGGGGGGTTTCAATATCTGGTTGAAGGGATTAATGACTTGGGTAAAACTATTCACCTCTACAAAGGACATTCTTCACCTCAAATCAATTACTCTGTAATAGGAGAGCAGGGCTATGCTGGCCTGTTTTTCATTAAACAGCAATCACATGAGGGACCAGTGCATCAAAATGACTGCAGCAGGTGGCTGGTGAGGGGCCCGAGAGCTTTCTGTGGAAAAAGAAGATGTCTGTACCCTCATGAATCACTGTGAGAAGATGCAATTCAATAATACAGAAACCTCATGATGCAAAAGCTTAAAATGCGATGGGCCTTATCGGGCTGTTCGGGAGGCCCCAAACGGTGTTGTGTGTGCTGGAAACAGAGAGGCGAGGTATAGGGCAGCATCTTCTGTAAATCTGTCTGGGTGGAAGACAAGTTTGGGCGTTAAGGATATTGGGGAACGGAGATAAGGAGCCAGATGTGTTTATGACTTGCTGAGTGTTGAATATCTGAAGCGTTCCATCAGCACACCTCTCGCTGCTGATGCATCCCTCACTTGGTTTTGATCCTGAGTTCTGCTGAGTAGATGCACATCATTCTAACACTTCCTGAAACACAGATACTGCAACTGTTCTTGGAAGCCAGATCTGCAGTCATTCTTTACCACACATTATAGAAAATACATGATTGAATCTCACAAACAGTCATGTGTGTGTGTGTGCACGTTTTTGTGACAAATGAGGACATAAATTTGTATAATGACAAAGGTATGACATAGGTATTACAAGGAGAAGGTGACTTTTCAGGACATTACCCCATGTCCCCACTTTTCAAAACGCTTATAAATCACACAGAATGGAGTGTATTGAAAATCTGAAATAGCACAAAGTTTCCTGTAAGGGGTAGGTTTAGGGGTAGGCTTGGTGTAGGGCAATAGAATATACGGTCTGTACAGTATAAAAACCATTACGCCTATGGGATGTCCCCACTTTTCACAAAAACAAACCTGGGTGTGTGTGTGTGTGTGTATATACATGATTACATATTATATAATATTGTGAAATATTATTACCATTTAAAATGTTTTCAAATTTGATAATAATAAGAACCATTATTAATAACAGAGCAGCAAATCAGCATAATAGAATGATTTCTGAAGGATCATGTGACTGAAGATTTGGATACTGACAATTCAGCTTTGCATCAAAGGAAGAAATTACATTTTGAAATATATTACAATATAAAACAGTTATTTTAAAATGTAATAATACTTCACAATTTTAACTGCATTTTTGGTCAGATAAATGCAGCTTTGGTTAGTATAAAAGAGACTGCTTTGTACCCCATGTGTACAATGAAATATACTGCTGTATTTTTAATGTTGTGGGCCTATATTTCTGCTGGAGGTCCTGGACATCTTTTTTAGATACATGGCGTCTCTGATTCGATCAAATACCAACAGATAAAAAATAAAAAAGTGACTGACTCTGTTAGAAAACTTGTAATGGGCCATGTTTGGATCTTCCAACCGGACAATAATCCAAAAACAAACCTTAAAAACAACACAAAAATGGGTCACTGGGCACAAAACCAAGCTTCTGCTATGGCCATTCCAGTTCCCTGAGCTGAACCCTATAGAAAATGAGTGTGGTGAACTGAAGAGGAGAAGCACCATCGTGGAGCTGGGAGTCTGAAGGGTCTGGAGAGATTCTGGATGAAGGAATGGTCTCTGATCTCTTGTCAGGTGCTCTCTAAACTCATCAGGCATTATAGGAGAAAACTCAGAGCTGTTATTATGCCAAATGGAGGTTTCAAAAAGCATTGAATAAAAGGGAGCCGTTAATTGTGTCCAATGTGTATTAGAGAAAAACATTTATGTCATAATGATATTTCCCCCCATTTTAAATTCTTATTCTCCAATGAAAGGTTAGATTTATGTAATTTTTTTAAATAAAAGATCAAAATGATTAACAATGCAGATTTATTTTCACAGCCTTCTTTGATCATATTTACCAAGGGTGCCAATAATTCTGACCACGACTGTATATACAAAACAGAAAAAATCAGTTTGCAAATCATAAACTTTTGAACAGTCGAGGATAGTAAATCAATATTTTATAATCATTAAAAAGCATGAATAGAGATGAAAAATGAATTAAAAGAGTAAAACCTTTGCATATTGGATTTTTTTAGTGCTGTTGCAATAAAGTTTTTGCTATTATTGTTTTACAAGATGTATTGGCAGACGCTCTTCAATTTTAATAGAATTTGGTGTGAAGTGTCCCTTTTGCAGAGCTAGTAACCTTTTCGGAAATTATTGTTCTATTACTAAGGGACTTTCCACGAATTGTGTTAGAAGGGTGAACTAAATAATACACAGTAACACGGTCCTAGTGGTGTCACAATTTTAAGAAATATAATTTTAAATAATTTAACAGCGACTTGAATATCAACTAATTGTTGAATACAATCAAAAAGGCCAATATCTGAAAATCCCAAAAATGTGACAGTTTAGCTTATTTTACACTACTTGCTGTTTACGTTTCATGGTAGGTTAATTTTTTGTTACTTAATAGCAACATCAAGCACACCTAATTCAAACATGCCACCATTTAAGTCACTAATGCTTTGTAATGGGACACAAAATTCATGAAAAGTGCCTTAAACAATGCAAACTCCTGTAACATTTAAATCCAGTCTTATTATATTTCCGGATTTATGTAGTTATATTAGGAAATACAAAATAATGTTAAAAAAGGAGTCTGCTGTCATCTCATGAAAATGAATGTTGCATGATTGCTGGATATTAATAATTTGTCCTCTCCATTCTCAAGGAGAGTCACGGTAAAAGGCAAAATCTCTCCTTTCGTCCATTTAATGTCATGCATTTTCACGACATTCCTGAAACATTCATCACTTGAGAGCCTCATTATGCCATCTAGGCCTGAGATTGGCACATTTGCAAATATTTAAAAGCAAGGCAAATGCGATAGTCACAATATTCACATAAAAAAGCTTTACCTAGGGATCTATTCTTGGCCTACCTAGTCAATTACCAGCTAATGAGCTGACCTCAGCTGACATTCACTCCCAAACTGCTAAGGTGGAATTAGTTAACTTTTTATGTCAGAGGAAATGCTCCAGTCACACTGTAAGCGAGTATGTTAAAAACTGTGGATGTTTATTAAATGTCACTCATTGAACACATTTTAATGATCAACAAAAAATACTGCTAATACAAGACCTAAAATGAAACATGAGTCCATCATAATTCCCAAAATGTAGCAGAGCATACCAAATGTTAATAGTGTACAGTATATCTGCATTCATAGCTTTCATAGCTGGTCAGAAAGGATGGGTTTGTAGGTTTGAGGGGATGTTAGGGAGGGCAGGATGTGTAAAGAAAGGAAAACGTCCTCTTGTCATCCTGGGGTGTTGTTATACTGCAAGACATGCTCAATTTCACGGTTAAATTATTTACACGGATGACTGGCAAGTGCCGTCAGCAGACAGGTGTAGTTTGAGAGGCCATCGGCAGCGGTTCCTGAGTTCCAAGAAGTTCACAGAAAGCAACGGAGGCCATGAACTGAGAATCTGTCATTCCCCAAAACAGTAACTGTCGCACGTTCTCTCCTTTGGTGCAACAAAACCAATCTCAGTCCGTATCTTACATTTATCAGTTTCATACCCGAAAAGAACAACATTTCTTTTAAAAATACCTGTGGAGAGCAAGAAAAACATGGCGGGATGAGGTGAGGTGATGTTTTTTATTGGCGTTTTCTCTTCGTTTTGAATGTGCATGCTAGTACATCAGGACAACTAGATCATTGAAAGACCTCCTACGGTTTCCAGAGAGAACTGACCGTGAAACTCAATCTACATAGCGCTGTTCTTCTTAATCAATTTCACCTCACAGAAATGACTGCGGTTCTCTTTATTGAGCAAGAATGTGTCACAAACTTGATCAAAACACGTCAGTTTGGTTGGGCTGTGACAGCTGTTCGCTCTGTTGTAGTTTTGAGCTCCTCTGACGGTGGCGAATTGGTTTTCAGTAGGGGTTGGCATTGCAGTATATACTGTAAATTGGCCATTGAAACATGAATGAAGAATATAGCTAGCTGATATTGAAATGCTTTGCATTTTTTTTATAATCTGAGGGATTAGTTATCCTTTGATTCATAAAACAATTTTTTAAAATTCATTCCAATACAGATATAAAAGTGATTGTAAAACGTTTTGAAACAGAAATTAGTAATTTGATGTTGCTGTTTAAAGTGCAGACAATGCTCATCTTTGATAGGATAATCAATGTACAGTCACAACAAATATAAAGATACAAATAAACTTATTAAACTGATTTTCACATTCAAACACTGGGTTAGTTAACATGGATATCGCAGGATAAATACTAATACTAATACAAAGACTCATGAAACACATGTAAATGGGTAAAAGGACATTGCAAGTTGATTGTTCGGAAAGTTGACATATGCTCATTGTCAGTGCCATAAATGAAAAAAAGAGAGAAATTAGTGAACCAAGTCTGCATAGATAAAAAAAATACAAACAGAAAGAGAAGCAACATTAGGAATAGTTTACACCAAAATCAGTAAAACGAGTTACATTCGCATTCATGATGTTATACAACAGTTAAATAAATTTATACTGTATTGCCAGATACTTTATTTTTGCTCCGCCAATGAAAACAAAGTCAAAACAGAATCGTTGCACACCTCTGAGCAACAAACAAATAGTGGCGTTTCTTCCTTAATGATTCATTATTTTGAATAAATCAGTAAATGATTCAGCGATTGACGTATAAATAATCACTCTTTCGTTCTGAATGAACCAACATATTTATGAACAAATCAGGCAAGTAAATGATTCAATGGTTCACTCATAAAACAGCCTTTTGTTTAGTTTCCAAATGAATCTATGTTTTTCGAATGTAAATGAATCAATGATTCACTCATTAATTGCGACCTACTGGTGTAACAATGTAACATGCATAAAGAGTCGCTGAAGAATCCCCACTAAGGAGGTCGAGAACTAACTGTTGTATAAATATATGTATTTTGATGTTCATTTCACATTTTTAAGAGCCTCAAAAACCAACCAAGCACTGGTGTTTTTGCCAGTCTGTTTGTTATAGGCCTAATATGCGTGCTTTAAATGCCCAAATGCAATTTGAATCTTGAACCCTTGCATTTTAGGGTAAACTATTCCTTTCAGCATAAGATTTTGAGAACTTCACAGTTTACCTGAAACAAATGACATTAAATTAATACATGATCATATAATCATGGCAAATGAATGAGCTACTAAATAAGCTACTGATATGATCTGCAAAATGATCTGACTATTAAAACAGAATATTTGGTCTGTTCACAACAACAAAAAAAGCGGTTCAACCCAAGTTCAATTCTCAGATTCAGACTCCAAGTTTACGCCTTAAAGCTCCGTCAATCCATTTCATTGTGATTTCAGGTGAATCTGACCTACTGTGCATAAGATAAAATCCAGCACTCTTCTATCCGGCAGTAACACCAAAGGGTTATTGTGCTTTCTGAGAGACGTTCAGCTTCTCCATTGATAAAACCCTCCACTGACTGACCTGTCAGAGTGAAAAATGTGCCTGTTGTGGCCCATCACTCTGAAAGCCACCACTGTGACACATATTCTCCTTGAGCATCCCTGGTGGTCAATAACGTATTTACTCGACATGTGGCAAAATCTAGTTACCTCCCAGATATTACAGCAGGGGCTGGACACACCAATAGCAACCTTGTCATGTTTAACTACGAGTTATTGATTAAGCACTGAACGAAAATAACATAGGACAAGCTGCCTCTCCGTCGGATGTCTGAAGAGTTAAAAGTCTTTATTTTTATGAAAAGCTACACGTTCTTGCTAAATTTCACAGCTACAGAAGTTTATTTTTTTCTTTTTTTTTAGACAACAACTATGTTTTTTTTCCCCCCATTAGTACATTTTTGACAATACCTGCAATGTTTTGTAATAATATTCAGAGATGTGAACAGTAGATCAAGAGAAAAACATCGGCCCATTGGGCGTTAGCACAAACACTACAAGATGGTGGGAAAACAGGGTTTGAAAGATGGATAGAAACAGAAACATGAGCAAGAAGTTGTCGCCGGAAAGTTCTTGCGTTTCTGCATCGAGTGTCTCTAACACCTACAGCCACCTTTGAGCTCTTCTAGTCGAGTTTTCTAGTTCTCACTCATTTATTCTCCTCCTTGGTTGGCCTGATCTTCATCTCGGTGAACTTCAGCGAGTACTGCCAACCCGTCCAGGATGACCACTCGATGCCGTCGGCATACGAGGTGTGTTGGCCGCGCAGGTACTGTCCGTTGAGGTTGGAGGTGTGGCAGTTGCGGTACCACCAGGCGCCGTGGTAGAAGGACGCGCAGTTATTCTCAGAGTGGTCGTTGTCCTTGTCCTTAGTGGTGAATTTCATCCCGTTGTGTTTGAGCAGCGAGTCGCCTGCAGCGTCGGATCAATGCGTGATGGAAAGAAAGATTGAGAAAGACAGAGGATGGGTGGAAGAGTGAGCATGTGAGAGACAGGGACGGCGAGAAAAAGAGACAGAAACAAAAGAACAAGTGAGTCACTCAACCGCAACGTCTTTGTTTATCTGTGTCATGGAAAGTTTAGATTACTGCAGTAAAACAGTACACAGTTTTAACAAAGAGCAGAAGTTTTCTTCCAAAACATAGTGAGCTACCTTGCTCTACATCTTAAATCAAATGGAACCTCAAAAAAATAAAAATGAATAAGTGTAAAAAATACACAAATACTGGATAATTTTTCCTCCAAAAATTGATTGCTAAATATTTTTGTAACTTACATTAGGGCTAAAAACAACTAACCAATAAAATTGATAATAATCAAGTGAATAAAAGCAAGCAAGTTGTGTTGAACTTCACACCATTTTTTTATTTGTTATTTTACTTTCCACAAAAATATTCAGCAGCACAACTGTTTCAACATGAATAATAATTAGAAATGTTAAGCAGAAAATCATATTAGCATATTAGAATGATTTCTGAAGGATCATGTGACACTGGAGACTGGAGTAATGATGCTGAAAAATAAGCTTGCCATTCCAGGAATAAATTCTGTTTTAATATATATTAAAATAGAAAAGAGTCATTTTAAATTATCCAAAATATTTCACAATTTTACTGTTTTTTACTGTCTATTTGATAATAAATCCTGTCTTTGTGAGCATAAAAGACTTAAACATAAAAAATCATAGTCACCTTAAACTTTTGAATTACAGTGAATTTGCTTGTTATAGCCTTCAATTCATAAAATCCAATTGCTTAAAATAGCAATGCTAAACCACTGCTTATAGGCTCATATATCGAGCACCAAAACATCAGTTGGAAATTTCACAATCACCTTAGTGTGTTTATATCTGCATACTGAGACTGCTAGTTCTGCTGAAGAGAGAGACAGAAACCAAAGAGAGGAGCATGTTAATGCGTTGCCACTAATGTGCCCTTATTAAGCTCTGTGATGTATGTTTCAGGGACATAATGTTGCAGTGTGCAGCTAGGCTAATCTAATCCCAGTTTCCTGCCTCCATACTGCCCGGCTCCGCTGGGCCCGGCCTTGCTGACAAGATCAGCCTTTTATTGCCAGCCTTGCCAGCCCTTCTCCTGTCCTCTTCCTCTGACTCTAATTCCACTCTGCTGCAACATGTATCGTGATAGCCATGTTATTGGGACAAAGGCGATCCAATTGATGCCGTTATATCACATTGTAAAGTGTGTTACACATCATAAACTCCTATCGGTTGCCTCATAGATTCATCATTGTGGTCTAGCAGATAACGAATCAGCAGAATAATGGTGGTATAAAATGACAACACCTGGACTGTGAAAGGAGCCAATGAACAGATGCAGAGACATTGCCTGCAGAAACATGACACATGAGCTGGCTTTACCTGGTTTTTAGCATGTCTAAGAAGGTCATTTATGGTCTTTGGCTGTCTCAAGCTGGTTTAAAAGGATAGTTCATCCAAAAAAAATGAACATTCTGTCATCATTCACTCATCCTCATGTTGTTCCAAACCTGTATGACTTTTTTGCCACACAAAAGTAGATATTTTGAAGAATGTTGGTAACCAAACAGTTTTGGTTCCCATTGACTTCCATTGTATTTTGTGTCCATGAAATAGAAGTCAGTGGAAACCAAAACTGTCTAATTTGGACATTATTTTTAGATCTTCACCCCCATGTTGTTCCAAACCTGTATGACTTTTAACCAAACTTGACTTTAATTGCATTACTAACAATATTCAAAAGATCTTATTTTAAGTTCCACGGAAAAAAAGAAAGTCATTCAGGTTTGGAACAACACGAGGGTCAGTAAATAATGACAGGATTTTAATTTTTGGGTGAATTAACCCTTTAAGATGAGCCTTAAACTAGCTATTTACAGTCAGATGGTTAAAGCTGGTTTAGATAGTTAACTAACCATGAACAATGTTGGTCAAGCTCATTAGAGCTAGTAGAACACCTTAGACCAGTAATATGTTCCAATAATATGTCTAACAAAACCAACCTGAACTCCTCAATCCGGTAAACTGTGGTCAGTTTAAACCAGGTTAAGTAAACTGGTTTAAGATGTCAATAACCATCGAAACAGACCAGTCTAATGAGCTTCGGAAACTAGCTAACCATCTGGTTTAAAGAGATCTGATAGAACATGCTGGACCAGTAATATGTTCTAAACTAGCTATGATAACCAATTTACACGTTAAGCTGGTACAATGTGGTCAGTTCAGACCAACTGGTTTAGCTGGTTGGCCAACTGAAAAATACCCCAAACCACTTGAAAACCAAAACAGACCAGCCTAATAATCTCTGGAAACTAGCTAACCAGCTCAGGCTTGTTTAAAACCATTCTTTCAGAAGGGGAAGCTGCTTGAAGGAAATCCTTTACTCTCTATATACAGTATGAACAAATCTCAACAAGCTGCCTCTGCAATAGTAGTATGTTGTAATATTCATATAGTGTTACATTTCAAAGAATACCCAATCATACAAACGACGTTGGAAAAAATACTAATTTGCTAGAACTAGATGATTAATCATTGCAGTAAATTGCAGATTCTGTGCAAAACAGACTTCACAATTGTGCACCTGAGGGGGTGTGTAGCGTGTGTCAGCATGAAGGTGCATCTCAGACTTTTATGAAATGTTTTGAGACAGACCCACTCAGGAGGGCGATACAAGTCATTAGCTATGTGCATGAATGCATAATTGCGTTAATGCCGAAAAACACTGCAACATCAGAGAGAAATTATACACTCCTCTACTTGGACGAGCATTATTACAAAATAATCAAACGCTCACATGCAATTTCGCTTCTTACTCTGGCCTCCCTAATGGTAGTAAAAACATTTCTGTGCGCTTGCAAAACTGTCATTAGCGCGCTTTGAAGTTGGTACTGTTAGTACTCAAAGTGTTTACAGAGATCAGGGCATCATGGGTGTAAAAACTCATCTCAGGTAATTATATCTTCCCAGAGATCCCCGCTGTGGCTGAGCACTCTTTCTCTACACTATCGTAAAGGCCTTTCATTAAACAGAGCGGCATTAAAGACAGCATGCTTGTGCGCTGAAAACAGCTATGATATAAAAAATCTAGCATGCAAGAAAAGGGTGTGTGAGGCACACTTTAACACCAAAAGATTTTCTTTTATTATCTCAGTTGCAAAAAAACATCAGAGTAATGCATGAAAAACAGAGGATTCTGGGGTACGGCTCATCAAAATCTCCACAGGGATGCACTGTCGTATTGAAATAATGTCATATCAAATCGGTACTTCAGCATCAACACACAATCGCTAAAACACTTTCCGACAGCAGTTTTAGACGTCTGCTGAAGAAGTCACTTGGATGGTTTAGTTTAGTACTAATGGCCCGCATGAGTGAGATTTTCTGTGGATTTGATGCCACATAAATTGGCATATTTTTCAAAACTTTTTTTTTTCAAAATTATGTGATGAAATCTATCTATCTATCTATCTATCTATCTATCTATCTATCTATCTGTCTGTCTGTCTGTCTGTCTATCTATCTCTGAAGGCCTATAAATCTTCATACTTTTCTTTTTCATGATTTTCCTATACAACACTATTAGGCAGTAACTTTATGTAGTAACTTATTGACAGTTATTTTTATAGTATAGTAACACTAGATATTATATATACAGTGAAGGCCAAAATTATTAGAACACCTGACAGATCTGAAAATATAGATTTTTTTTCCCTCCAAAACATGATTTAATTTGCATTCACATAATGTTCATGAAGCATGCAGATGGTTACTTTAAACACAACAAATATCAGATGAAGTGAGTTGTACTGTTTTTATCCACTTTTAACTTTAATATTTGGTATGTCCACCTTTTGCAGCAATTACAGCAGCACATCTCTCTGGCATAGTGTCAATATATTTCCTGAGAACTTCAACACTAATGTTATCCCATGCCTTCTGCAACTCAAGCCGAAGGCTTTCCTTTGAATGTACAATAGATGTGTCCAGTTTATTTTCCATAATGTGGTTATGTGGTTGAGGTCCGGACTTTGAGGGGGCCAGTCCATCATTTTCAATGTTCCAGCAGCCTCCTTCTGTCCTTCTGTGTATATATATATATATATATATATATATATATATCTGAAGGCCTATAAATCTTCATGCTTTTCTTTTTCAAGATATTTCTATACAACACTTATATACAGTAACTTATATAAGTTACTTATATACTTATATATAAGTAACACTTAAGTAACACTTATATAAGTTATATTTATCAATAAATATTGATAGTTATTTTGTTGTAGTATTATAGTAATATATAGTGAAAACCTGTTCTAGATGGTTAACTGAACTTTGCTGGTCAAGCTAGTTAGAGCTGGTAGAATACCTTGGACCAGTAAAGTCTAGTAAATTTAGTAACTTATCAAGTTCCAAAAACCAACTTGGACACTTTAAGCTGGTACAATGTAAGTTTAAACCAGATTAAACTGGTTTAGCTTGTCTGATCAGTTGAAATTTGTCTCAAACCACTTGATCATTAAAGCCAAAATTAAAATGCTACATCAGAAAGTTTTCTTACTCCATTGCTAATATCAGATAAATGGATACTTTGTGTTCAGAGAAAGTGCATCAGATAAAGCGAGAATATATTAAAATTCTGCTGTTTGTTGAATTTTAAGCTGCCTGCCACATTCAATTGTTTTAATCTGATTTTATGGCCACAATGTGCCTTTTACCATTGACATTGTGACAGAATTTTTTCTTTCGAACTTCTGTGACGGTTGGACTCTGAGCCTTCTCAGAGTTGCTTTTTGTCTGACAAACCGTTATTAAAGTTGTCAAGGACATCTCACAATGTTGCCCTCTAGGAGCCACGGTTTGCGAATTTGTGTTTTTTCCTTTTGTTTTTCAGCTGCTGTTTTGTTCCACACTGCTGCTTGCTCTTGAAAAAATGACTGTTTGATTTCATTGTGCTAAAACATTCAATCTATGTTGATCTCTTACAGCATTTTATTCAAAACCAAGTTTCATACTTGAGCAAGCACAGCTCAGACGAAACATCAAAATGTGATTTAATGCTTACTGTCAGTCCAACCTACCATTCATGTACACATTAATGCTTTAAACGACCACGCATGCATTTTAATCCAGACAGCGGCGTAAAAGTCCAAACAGGACGTAATTGATATGATTGGGAATCAATGTGGCATGACTCCTCCAGCGGGGGATGTTTAAGACAGCCTCGCTAATTAGACGCGTGGAAGCAGTATTCTCCTCTTGATTTATGTTAATAGGAGTGTTTGTTTACGTCTCCCATAATAAGCCGAGTGCCTGCTTTATTAGAATGCCATAGATGTATTCTACGGCTTCATTATCCCTGCCCTTTCCGGCACACGGCGAAGGTCACGCCCGTGTCCGGCCCCAGCGATGAGGGCAGTGCTCGGGGAAAAATACCTGAGAATAATAGTGCGGGACCCAATTAATTTTAAAAAGAGGCCCCGGCGACAGCGGCGGTGAAGCAGTGAGAATTGCTCATCACTTTGCCTCGGTGCAGGCGATAACCTGCGGCCCCCGTTGCTTTGCGTGCCGCAGGAATATATCTGAACACCGCTGAAAACAGGGCAGGAAACTTTAAATTAGTCTTGTGATTCTCATGATAGTTTCTATTCTGGGCTGATCTTCTTTGTTTTGCTGGGTGCAATTCAGGCCGCTACGTTTGGATTTCCTCTCTGTGCTTAACATGGGCTTGTTTTCAACACAAAAACTTTGCTAACACACACAGAGACGCATTTATTTTTTAGAGACACATACACACACATACACACACACATACACAAATGTGTGTGTGTGTTTCTCTATATATATATATATCTATATATACACGTATATATACATGTATGCACAAATATATATATATATATATTAGGGGTGTAACGATGCACATACTCGTATTGAACCGTTTGGTAGGCTACGAGGCTTTTGGTTCGGTACGCATTACAAACCGAATGATTCGTTGGACTAATCCTATTACATTTGGAAAATAAAAGAGCTTAAAGTGTGTGAAATATAATGTTCTCAGTGCCACTGCGCTCTACAAGGCAGCCCAAACGACGTAACAGGCAACGTGCTGTCTGCCCAGTGGCGTAGCGGACAGGCACGCAGGGCACGCACTGCGAAAGGCCCCGCGATAACCCCCCCTTGCTGAGTTGCTTTGAAAGATGATGATCTTGTATCAACGATAGCCAGAGATAATGTCAAAAACATTAATTATTGGCAATATTAAGAGGATTTGGCATTTCCAATTAATGTAGGCCTGTTACATTCTTATTTTTATTAGGCCTATTATTGTTATGAAGCTACTTTTATTATTAAATTAAAATTACAATTAATTTGTCCCGCAATAATTACCGCATAACTGATGCGCTGCGAGGATAACAAATGATTAGGCTATTTACTCCTCAATTAAAATGTTGTAAAAAAAAAAAGTCTTTTAAAACAGGTCTATTTTACAATGAATTATAGGCCTACAATTAAAATATTAACACTGCAGTCAATAAAAATCAATGAAATAAAAAGCTTTTATTTCAAGCACTAACATTCAAAAGCAACCAGTTTAAAACGAAATACGTTTCTTCTCATTTTTTTTCCTCTATGGAAAAAACAGGCCACAAGAGAAATATTAAGGGAATAAATTAAAACAGTTAGCTATACCGTTATCAGCATAGAGATTCGTCATCTCTGAGAGAATATGCGGCATCAGATGCCGAAAGCTCCGATATTACTCCGTCATTTCATTTTTACTTTCACTTTTTTTCATTGGCTCATTGGCAATTCATTGGCTCGCCTTCATGGTTTAGAACAGAAATATTTCCAACATTGCGACGTAACCAATTCCAATATTATAACCAATATAAGTAACCAATATTGAT